TGGAGAGCCAGAGGATCCAGTCAGAAGTTGAAGGCCTGAAGCTCATTGGAGAGTGCAGTGCAAGTCTGTATTGGAAAGCCAAAGGGTGAACATTGGAAGGCTGAAGAGTCTGTGCTGGAAATCTGAAGGCACTGGAGACAAAGATCTACAGATGATGGTGAAGGCTGGAGCTCCTCTGAACAAGCAAAAGGGAAGACTTTCTTTTTCTTTCCCTTTTTATTCCATCCAGGCTAGCTACACCCCTTTTGGTTGGTGCCACCCACTTCCAGGTCACTCTTCAGTGTGTGACTCATAAGTCATTCATCCAGACACACCCAGAACCATCCTCCACTAATTTGCCATTCATTTCTTATTCAAGCTGATACCACAATTAACTATCCTGCACACTTTGCCCTCCAGAACTTTGTCTTCCACATTTCCACTTCTGTCCGAGGAAGCCTAGAAGTTCTTTGCTTGAGCATGTTTTTGAATTGGTCCTAGAACCAAGGGAAAACACCACAGTGGTTTATGTAAATGGATAAGCTGTGGTTTTAAGATATCTGACTATATTTTATAATATTTAAGTACTTATATAACTTTTATATTAATTTAAATATATAATAAGTACTTGGGCTGGGGATGTAGCTCAGTGATTAATCGCTTGGCTAGCATGTGAGCTAGGTACAGTTCCCAGCACCACAAAAAAAAAGAAACAAACATACTTAGGTCTGGCTGCTATAACAAAGAGTTGCAGTCTGCGTAGCGTAAACAACAGAAATTTATTTTTTTACAATTCTGGAGGCGGTAAGTTCAAGATCAGGGTGCTAGCATGGTCCATTTCTGGTGAGGGCCTTCTTCCTAGCTTGTAGTCAGCTCCCACATGGTAGGGAGCTCTTTCCTCTTGTAAAATTACAGTCTTATTAGACAGACCCCATTCTTATAACCTCACTTAGCCTTATATTACCTCCTGAGGACCCTATCTCCAGGTGCAGTCACATGGGGATTAGAGTTTCAACATACGGAGGGGTGGACACATGATTCCGTGTATAGCAAACACTTAAAATACCACAAGCTGTTATTTGATTCAAGATTTAAGTGACTGCTTCAGATCAATGTAATATTTTTTTAGTTTAGAATAGTGAGAGTTCTGTGACCATGAATTATAGTAGGAGAATTCTGGAAGGTGTAGATCTTAGTAAGTCGAGTTTGTATAAATGTATATAGAAAGGAGCAAGGCATCCCATAGGAAGAAGATAAAGTTCAGTCATGGCGGTTTGTAAAACAGCAAGGAATATTTTTATGTGGATGTTTTTCTTTTTAAGTATATACTCATAAAAAGCATTTTTTGAATTTCCTCAGGGATTAAATGGAAATTTTATTGAACTGGGAATTACATAGAACTAAGAGTTGTTTCCCTTTACCAGATCAGTTACATTGTCTTTTTTTTTTTTGTTTAATGAAAGCAATTTTTAAAACTTACTTTAGCAGAGTTTTTTGTGCAATTTATTAGGTACTTTCACATTCATGATAGGATTTGATTCACATGCAAACTTGATGATGTTGATAAATTACTTGCATTATTTTTTTACATATATGGAAACTTATTTTACAAAAGCTGAGATTTGTTCAGGGTAAGCTAGCCCTTTAAACTGTAGACAATACTTTCTCTTCAGAATGTATCCAGTTGAGGATTTTGGACTGAGCCTAGGTGAATTGCCATTTTATGTGTTTCTTTGAAGTCTAGGTAGCAGAAAAATATGTATGATATTTGCAGTTAATAACATCTGTTTAAATTCATTTCTGGAATTATGACAGGGACTATTGCTGGCTGGTATCATTTGTTAAGCCCTGTAGCTTTGGAAGTGACAAGAAAGCTATAGAATTACATCTTTCTCTTTACAAAAAAAAAAAAGAGCAAAACTTAATAAAGTTTTGGCCAGGTTCCTGAGTAAAACAACTGAAATTCCCTATGTAGCTACTAGAGGGAAATCTATTTGTTATAGTAAAAGATAATCCCTGGTACCTGATGTTTTACTTGCCACATTTATATTTCTCTGAACTATCTGGACAAATGATTTATTCTCCACTGAATATTGTTTGCTTTTTCATTCTAGTGCCATAAAAAGAGACTGGGCTACAATTAACTGGTAACTTACTATTTGTTTTAATTACTTCAGTGCCAATACTTAAATTATGGTACTTCTAATTTTATCTTGTTGTATTGAAGAGCAGTTTAATTAGAAAACATTGTTTCTGGGAGTCACTTACACTGGTAAAAACTGTTTAAACATCTTTTTGAAACAGACCTAAAAGGAAAAAGATTGCTGGGAATTTTGTTTTTTAATAAAAATTGGGTGCATGCATGTTTCATATAGTTCTTGAAACAATTCCTTTTTACTATTTGAGAAATTGTGGCTGTGAGTAGAAAGGATTGATCATTTTAGCAATGATAGACTTCAAAAATGCAAGTAAAGAAAATGAAACCAATAGTAGCATTTAAAGTAGTTTCAGAAACATAATTTTAAATATTTCTAGTGACGTATGGATGAAGTTGTAGAGGGCTTCTTTCTCCAATAGATAATCAACTTCACAGGCCTTTTAAAATTTGTTTTTATTTTTACCAAAGAAATATGCATTGTTTTTCAAAGTGAAAAATATTTGCAGGTTATAAAATAGAAGTCCACCTCCCACCCTAGATGCTTTTATAGGGATTGAACCTAGCGCCTCTGCACTGAACTTCATTCCTAGCCCTTTAAATGTTTTTTTGTTTTGTTTAGTTTTTAATAGATACAAGATCTCATTAAGCTGCTAAGTTTCTCTGGCTGGGCTTGAACTTGCAATCTTCCTGCCTCAGTATCCCACAGTGATTTTTCTTTTTGTGGTTTGTGGATTTTGTGTCAAATTCAAGACTTAAATCAGTTTTTCTTTTGAATTTCAAAGATTGTACCATTTAATTTTCTCATTAAAAATGTTGCTATTTAGTGCCATCTTGTTTTTTGATTCCTTGTAGGTCCCTTAATTTGCCTAAGCTTTAAGATATTCTCTTTATCTTTAGGGGTCTGAAAGTTTTCAATAATCTCATAACATGACGGTTTTTTCATTCACTGGGCTATATTCTGATCTATTTTGGCCATTTTATAATTCATGTGTCTTAAAAATGAAGAACTAGAGTTGTGGGGAAATTTTATTAATATTTTAAAATTTACCTAATCTTATATCTTAGATTAACTCTACTATATTTTACTTTAATTCCACAAACATTTGCTAAGTACTTGCTGTGAGGTGAGGAGTGAGGAATAGTGGAAAGATAAAGATGACTAAATTGTATTTCCTATCCTCCAGGAGTTTTTAATGGGAGACACTTTAATAAAACAAACTAAGGGAGAAGAAAGTCACTGTAATTAGTAGATTATTTGGAGTATAAAGAGAAAAGTTTGTTATGACACATGGGAGGAAATTAGGAAAAGTCCTGACAATAATTACTGGATTATTGTGCATAGGAATACAGTTGTCCCTCAGTATGGGAAGAGAATTGGTGACACATGGACACATTACAGAATGTCAGTTTAAGGAATTTGGACTTTATTCAGTAGACAATGGGAATCATTATTGGATTTCAAGGAAAAAAATTGAGGGGGTTGAAACTGAGATAACAGAGACATCTGCTGAGTTGACAAGAGAGTATATAGGCCAGTGGTGGTGGAGGTGGTGAACCTGTGGCTTGTGTGCCTCAGCGGGCTGTTTGTTATCATTGAAAGCTCTGAAAGGCTCGCCACCACTAGTACAGGCAGTGTAGTTATAACCGAGCTGGAATTTGTGCGGTGGAAGCTCAGTGACCACTGTGAGAGCTACAGGGGTGTACTCAAAACTAAGCTAAGCCTTAAAGAGTGAGGCGCAAGAAGTCAAACATCAGCTCTGTTGTGAACCTGAATTTTAAATTAGTTTTATACCATGACATATCTCAGTGAGAAATAAAAAAAAAGCAAGCAAGAATTATTTGTCCTTTATTTTAACCAAATAAAAGCTAGTTGGGGCGGGGGATTTAGCTCAGTGCTTCCGGTGCCAGCCTTGCAAGCGCAAGGACCCGAGTTTGATCCTCAGTACCAAAAAAAGGCTAGTTAAACAAAGTGAAATTTGGTTTCTTGATATATGGTTCTTTCTGATATAAAATAAAGACTTGTTCTCTGTCCTCTAGTTTAGGGGTTAGTTTGGGAATTGATTAAGCCCTACAGTCATCTAGATAGTGAAAAGTGGACCAGAAATGAGAACATGTAAATTTTTAGAGAATTTCTATAGTAATAATAAAAGATCTAGCACATAAAAATATGCAAAGGTTTATACTAGGAAAATGACATAGGAAAGGGAAGACTCATTTATAGAAAATAATGGCTATAGTGGGCAAAAATCTTCACCTCATAATCAAAACATGAAGAGGAAGAATCAAGAAAAAAGGAGAAAAAGATATTTCCTACTAGCAGACTAGAGCATGTTATAAAGGTCTAACCAACGTGTGACCAGCATATATTAAAATTTACTCACATAGTAAAATAAAGATAGTGATTCTTAGCTCCAAAATTTTTATACTGAAAATTATGTTGGATTTAGTAAATTCTTAATTGAGCTAATTATTACTCAGTGTGGCACTATGATTTGCTTTTCAGTTCTGACCTGAGAAATTGGGTTATATTATTTTGTTATTAGTATTATTATTATCATCATTATTCTTTTGTGATGCTGGGGATTGAATCCAGAGCTTGGAGCCTGTTAGAAAAGTCCTCTGCCACTGAGCTACATCCCCATCCCTGCGCTATAGATTATTTTATAAAGTCAAAGTATAAATGAGGTAAAATGTGGTTGTTGCTACTATAAAAAGAAAATCAAAATATTTAACTCAATATCAAAGACATTGATTTTATATTTCGTCTTTAACACGGCCTCAAAGTAATTTTTTTAAAGATGACTAATGAAGGAGCAAGGGGAGTGCACAGTAAATTTTAACACAGCTAATCATCTTTATACAGTTGGCTGGGGAACAGACCAGGGAATTGGTGGATTCGGAGAGGAGCCAGGAATTAAATCTCAGCTAATGAACCTTATTCGATCTGTAAGAACTGTGATGAGAGGTAAGAAGAAAAGCTTGCAGAGTACTCTTAAGTTTTAATTTTGTGGTTTGATGTAAGTAACAAAGCTTCAGAGTTTGAGTGCTATCATATACGCTTTTTGTAGTGGGAATTTCTTTCTCCCTGACCTGGCTTTACTGCTTGAAAGTTACTGGTTTCTTAGGTTGCCACTCTTGCTAAGCCTGCAAAATAGAGTAACATCCCTGCTTTCTGGAAATTGTTCCTTCCAAGTTGTAAACTTACCTACCATTGTGGAAGGCTTTCAAGGTCCTGTATCTGCCATTCTAATGGAAAATATTTTCAAACAAATCAAAAAAGAAGAGTCCAAATGCATCGTATTTAAAAATTAAAATTGGGGCCTTTTTTCTCTCTTTTAGTCATTTTAATCATAACTTTGGTTTCAGTGTTGGTAAATTCATTCTTAGTTTAGCAGTAGCTACAGAATCTTCTTTACACTGTATTTCTGATCTCATATTTCATTGCAGCCCTGTGGATCTACTGTCCAGGTCTAGTGTGCTTTTGTGTTCGCAGAGTTGCATCAGGACATTCAAGGCATTTCATATCGATCCACTTATGCAGCATGTCCCCTTATTCCCAGTTATACAAACTCCCTTTAAATAAGTTGTGGGTTTTATGATACGGAGCATCTTTTAATATTCCTCTAACTATTTATAATATGATTATGATATATTTTTAGAATGTTTTCATCTTTCCTAGATAATGGTTATTGCTTAATTTTTTTCTTGATTTTTCTTTATAGTAACAAACTTTTTTCTCTCTTTTTGCAGTGCCATTGATAATAGTAAACTCAGTTGCTATTGTATTGCTTTTACTATTTGGGTGAACATCAATGGAAGAAACAGAGACTTATAAGAAGAGATGCCAGCAGAAGTTACTGCTTTGGTCATTATTGAAATATTCAGTTCTTAGCAGGCCAACCTTGCATTTGACAAAAATGTAAAGTTGTCAATAAAACTAGAGTTTTTAGTTGACTGTTTTTTTTATAATGTTGCAATTGTAGGTTCATTACAAAAAATCAGATCATCAGAGCCAGCGGCTCACCAGGATTGGACTATGTTTGATTGCTAGCTGTTAATAATAGTTCATGCTATGTTATGCTATTATAAAGATTGTGAAAAGGGTACAGGACTGTTGCTTCTGGTTTTTTGGAGGGGGGTTGTTTGTTTTGTTTTCAGGTATTTTTCTATCTCTCACTTCTCAGGGATGAATTTTTTTCCAAAGTTTTGAAAGTCCTTGTGACTTAGCCATGACATGAGAGTCATTATCTTCCTAGATAAAATTTAAAAGTTTTTTTTTAAAAAATTTTTACATATAAATGGTAAATAGGTAATTTGGATAATTTTGAATTCTTTGGTTAAATATTTAGTCTGTATATTGTCTCTGCTGTGCTGTGAGGAATTCAGATTTATAGATACTGAAAAGGACAATTTCAGGGAGAATTTAATTTTGTAAGTTAGTCACATGATGATTTTTTGTTTTTAGTTCTTTTTTCTTTTTGGTACCGGGGATCGAACTCGGGTCCTTGAGCTTGCGCAGCAGGCCGCGAAACCACTGAGCTAAATCCCCAGCTAAGCTAATTAATAAAGTGACAAATGTTTAATAAAGAACTAAATGGGGCTGGGGATTTAGCTCAGTGGTTTCGCTGCCTGCTGCACAAGCGCAAGGACCCGAGTTCGATCCCCGGTACCAAAAAAAAAAAGAAAAAATTAATTAGCTTAAATAAGACCAGATCAGCATCTACATGTTTTCATTGGTAGAAAGATCTATATGAAAAGTCTGTGCCCCTTTTTCAATGATTTATTTAATAAATAAGCATAAATATTAGCCTACAAGAGCAATCCTGAACAATCACAGTTAAACTATACTATTTAAGATGATTGTTTATTTTGAAGCATTATCATTTTTTTTTTTTTTTTTCCGAGCTTGCCAGGCAGGCGCTGTGCCGCTGAGCTAAATCCCTAGCCCTATGATTCCTTTTCTTGATGGAATAGCATATTAAAGGGTATAATTCTAATTCTTCATTCTGTAAATAAGTATTCTTGCTGAATAAGTCATATTTTGTTTTGTTTTTATGTCTTAGACTATGTTGTAAGGTTTTTTGCTCATCCCATACTACAGTTTTATGTAGAAAAGTTAAAACTGTAAATGGTTTTTGTGAAAATTATCAGTTATAATATTTGAAAGTATAATGTCTTTATTTATAGAACTTTTATAAATAAAGTTGAATTTCCTAGACAAGCGTTTGTTTTGTACCTTAGTATAAATATGTCAGGGTCAATTGTATTAATCTATTTTGTGTATAAATGTGTATTTTTGTTCTTTGTTGTAGAACTGCTCATGTATAGATTTCTTCCTTCTGTCTCTCTTTCCTTCTTTCCTGTACCAAGGATTGAACCTAGGGCCTAGCACTTGCCAGGCAAGCACTCTACCCATGAGCGACACATCCCTAGCCTTTTTAATTTTGACACAGTCTCAGTAAGTTGAGTAGGCTGGCCTTGAATTTGTAATCCTCCTGCCTCTGCCTTCCAAATAGCTGGGATTACAGGCATAGACCATTGTACTTGACTGGATATAATGACAGTAAACGTTCACAATCCATTTTTTTCTTCAGTAAATAAACTGAATTATTGACATATTTCAAGAAGATTCATGTGTAACTTATTCCATGTCTTAAGTTCAAAACTGTGGCATATATTTAATACCTTTTGGTGGTACCTGAATTAGAGATGGATGATCTTTGGTTTACACTGGGCTTACAGCTAGACCAAGGAAATGTACCAGAGAATCTTAGTTGGTTACTAAGCTAATGTGAGAAGCATATTTGGTATTTATAGGCAATGCTCTTTTGACCTGACAAAGAATTTATACATAAATCTGAGTTTGAGCCTCTAAACAGAACTTTTAAAAAGCAGTTAGTTAAAAGCACTCCAGTTTTTTTGTTTTTTGGTACTGGGGATCGAACTCAGGACTTTGCAAGGCAGGCAGCGACACCACTGAGCTAAATCCCTGGCCCCAAGAGCACTCCATTTTTTCACATGCTATGAGTTATACAAAATTTTTAAAAAGAAAGAAGTGGTCTGATACCCTTAGATAATATATCACACCATCATGTTAGTGTTGGGATATTTCTGAAGTCCACACTTCACTGGGGAGCAGTCAGAGCAGGGATGTATGAGTCTTATGTAGCAAAGCAGTTCGGAGGAAATTGAACATCAAAATATTTCATCTCTGGAGACTACTTACAATTCCATTTTTAATGTGGCTGAAGGGAAGTGTTTAAGCTTTCATGCATTGGCCATATTTTCCCTAGAGCAGCTATGATTCAGAAACTATAGTACCTTATTTTAGTAGACAGATGACTTAAGCCGCTGATTGTTTGCCCATAATCTCCCCTTTATCCATTCTCAGGCCTAACAATTTGTGATCATTCTGTGCTCCAAATACCATGATGCTTTGGGTCTTTAGATATCCTGGCCTTACCTCTGTGTGCCTCTGAACTGTTGCGAAGTAGCCATACCCTAATCCTTAATCAACTCTGAACAGCAGAATCAGATTTACAAAGAAAGTCTAGCGGAAGTATAAAACCCAAATATCTAAGATAACAGCTGTTCCATTTATTTTTAGTTGAAGTGGGGCTGGGCTCAAAGGCCTACTGTTCAGCCTCCCCTCCATGCTTGTCAAGTTTCCCAAGACAACACAAAATCCTGAATTTTCAAAAGCATAACAATTTTTTTTAATCCCAATAAGAGTAGGCAGTATGATCTGTGCTCTATAGGTATGTGCAGGCAAAAAAATGACTTGAGAGCAATATATAAATAGTAAAAAGGGCAGGAAGCAGATGTATTTCTAATACCAGCAAAATCTTATTTTCCGTGTGATGGCGAATAAACTTACTAAGACCTCAGTAGTTTTTGGTACCTGGTCTTAAAATTGGTCAGTAAGAAGTCAGACATAGTGCACATAATACCAGCTATTCAGGAGACAGACAAGAAAGATCACAAGTTCAAGGCCAGCATGGGCAATTTACTGAGATCTTGTCTAAAAGTAAAAAATGTAAATGTAGCTAAGGAGTAGAAACCTTGCCTAGCGTACAGAAACCCTTGCTTCAATCCTCAGTATTGCAAAAGTTAAAAAAGTCAGTAACTTTAGGAACAGCAGACTGATCCATGTGTATCCAGCGGACCCTTGACTTACAAACAATTAGTTTTCAAGGGCTGGTTGTAACTCAAGTTGACCAATTGAAGGCTCAGGCTCCTCTGCACAGCCTTCAAAGTCCCTCTCCTGTATACAGGCAGATCTCAGTGTCCTTAGACATTGGACCAGAATTTCTCAACCCCACATAGGAAAAAGGATGTTGTAATGTTCCATCTAGAACTCTGTAAGGGTTAAATTTGTATCTGAGAACAGCTGGAAGCACAAGTGGGTGGCATTCAGGTTGTAACTCAAGAATGGTCATAAGTTAAAACTAAAATGCTGGTCATAACCCAAGTTCATGTGTCAGGCCAGTCATAACTCAGGGATCTACTGTACATACATATATGTATATACATCTTTTCAAGATCACTAATCTTGCATCTTCAACAAAGGAGGCGAAATGTTTTGCAGGAAGTCCAAAACTTCTCTGATTAGTTTCAAAGTTATTACCAAAATACAATTTTTAAACTCAGCAAAATAGAATTCCTTTTTTTGCTTAAGTTTTCCTTGTTCCTTGAGTGTTCACTTGATTTCAGATAATTGTGAAAACATGAAGGACATGGGAACACAGTGGCTAACATCTTGGTAATGACCAAGATAAATTTTGTAGTTCTAAATTGCCCATGGTTTAAACTTGTGATTCTGCCTCAGCCTCCCAGAGTGCTGGGATTACAAGCATGTACCACCATATCCAACTAATAACTGGGTTGGGTAAACCCTCCTTTGGGTTTCTTGCCTGTCTCTTCCAAGTTCTGCTCTTCCTTTTAGAGGTCCCATCTCTTTTTACCCTTCTTGCTGTTTGCCAGGCAAAGCCTTTTCATGAGGAAGAAGCCATTAGTCCTGGACCCTAGTAATTATCTTGAGGACTTTTCCCTTACCTGTAGTCTGACTGATCACCAATTCTATTTTACCTTCTAATAAGTTCTTTGATTTGTTTTCTGCTTTGTTTCCACACACCCCAGTTAAAGCATCTCTCTTAGAGTCCTTCAGTGTCTTATCTGATCTCATCCATTTTCGCATCTTTCGGATCCGTGTTCTCTACTGTATTGCAGCCATAGGAAACATTTAGAAAAATGCATGTCTAATAGTACCTACTTGCTTAAAATCCTTCAGTGATGTTTTAATCTGGTCAGTCTCAGTTGATTCAGGAGGGGAAACTAGGTAACAAGTTCTTTTTTTCTTCAACCAATATGGCCTTCGTACAGAAAATAGATTTAACAAACACGAGTAAGATAGAACTGCAGACCCACTGGTGAAGAAAAGGAGAAGGCCCCTAGTCGGGACAGAAAGGTTTACAAGCATGGCTAAATTCAGCACCAGGCAGAGCTGGTGTTGGATGGAGGTTTCCAGTCAAGGGTAGGGCAGCAGTTTGGTCAGGTGTCCCATATATGTAAAGCAGTGTGTCCACCCTGGTTGTCAGACTTCTCTGGAAAGTTGTTCATTTAGTCATCTTCATATAGGGATGAACGTGTCTGCGTACAATTTATTTGGATTGAAATTATTTAGATTCAAATAATTTATTTGAATCAAGAAGAGACAAGTAGTGACCTATAACGTGTGTGGGGATGAAGGAGGAGGTGTATGAGTACCAAGATCATGCACTGGCACAGGTAGGCAAGCCCTCTTCTAGCTAGCTCTGAGACAAGGAAAGGTGACAGCAAGATTTTGGAATGGCTGAGGTAGGTGGCAGTTAAGGGAGACAGCAATAAATGCCAGATACTAGTTAAGCCTCAAACGAAATGTTACCCTGGAGATACCCTAGGTGTTTCAACGTATCAAGGACAGACCTTGGAGATCCCCTTCGGGAAACGATAAAGTGAGGAAAAGGAGTAGGCAACGAAGGTTACCTAGCAACACTGGGTTGGGCGATGATGGAGCGGGATGGGAAGCAGCTACTGAGCAAAAGCGGGGGCTTTGCTTTCTTGATGCATACACAGCCAGTCGGCCACGGCCTCACGAGGAGGATCTCGAGCAATTTAGCCTTTTCTCCTGGGGCGCAGGCGCAGGCACGGTACTAAGCCACGGAGTCCCAAGGGGGCACCCTGGGCGCATGGGCAGAGGCGCGCGGAGGCGGGACTTCCGGCGCGGCTAGGGGCCAGTGTCCCACAGCTATCCGGTAACTCCCGGCGCGCTTGAGGCTGCGGGGGTCCTGCGGACGGCGCGCGGTGGGACTAGCTCTCCTGAGGACAGCGTGCGGAGTGGGGGTGAGGAGCCGCTCGGGACTGAAGAGGAAGAGACGGCATTGGGGACAGTGGCCACGCACCTGTTGGAGGCTCCTTTTTTTGTGGGAGGGTCAGGGGAGTACCCGGCTCTGGGAGGACGTCGCTCCCGGAGGTGACAGCCCCTTGGCTACCCGCGCGTGCGCAGAGCGTGGAGCAGGCCTCGCGGTCTCCCGGGCCGGTGGTGGCTGCTTGGTGGTCATTCCTCGAAATCTGCCCCTGACTGTTTTTTATCGCCAGCGTCCGCCTGGCCTTTGCCAGTCCCTGGAACGTGGGCTGGGTCAGAGTGCAGAGGCCAGAGTTCATGCTGAAAGGTCCTTGTTCTCAGGACCTCCCCGTTCGAGACCAGGAGTCCATGAGTTATTTTAATGTAGGGTCTTTATTGAACATCTGAGTAAGAGCGGAAAAGACACCATAGCCTGTCCACGCACATTGGTCAGCAGTTTAGGAGGAGAGACTCGGTCAGGTAACCAGGACAGCGTGATAGGTGGGAGCACACGAGGCTCTTAGCCCTGCTGGAAGACGAGGACCTAGAGGCGGCTTGCCAGAGGGAGTGATGCTTAACTGAGGACTGAAGGAATTGACCTGATGGGAAGGAAGATGTAGGAGGGAGAAGGGGTTCAGACGGAAGTCCGACAATAGAGGAGAGGTAAAGTCTACGCTAGGAATGCTGCAGTGGTACAGAATTTGGGTGTGGAGGTAGAGATAAATGAATAGGAGAGCTAAGGAGGGCTCTATTTATCAGTGTTCATTGTTACATTGGCCTAAGGGTATTGGGGAACCCTTTGGAAAAATTTTAACGTTTATTGAGTACGTACAGTAGTTCCAGAAAAATCTGGAATCATACAGGGAAGGCAGGGAGGAAAGAGTTTATTCTCCAGAGCATTTAAGAGGCATCCTGAAGAACTCCGACCACTCCAAGAGAAAATTTTTCTTGAAATCTCATTTCATCTTAAGTGTTTATGCAAGTTCTGAATTAGGTGCCAGAGTGTTTATTTTGGTATGTTTTCTCAAATCCCCAAGTCATAATACTGTTTTAGGACTTCGTATCATATTTATCCTGTGATTTTTGAAGTCCTTGACATGTAACCCTCCCTGTTTCCTCTCCCAGCCCCCCCAAATATGTAACCCAGTCTTTCTAAGTATGGAACACTATTCACAATGCTTTTACAGGTATTACTTTAATACTCTTATTAATCATTAGAGGTGAGTGTTATTCTTTTAACTTTAGCAATGAAGAAACTGAGGCTGCCCAGGATTTAGCTCAGTGGCACCACACCTGCCTCACAAGTGCAAGGTCCTGAGTTTGATCCCCGGTACCAAAAAAAAAAAAAAAAAGAAAGAAACTGAGGCTGCAAGGTTAAGAAAATTGCCCGATTACATGTAACTTGTAAGGATTCATACCCTGGGATGTTTACCTCCCTTGTTCTTAGTAGTTAACTTCTGCACCATTGGACCCCAGGGAATGGATTGTGGGCTGGAAATAAGAGACATTTGGGAGAGAATATTCAGGAAGTCATTGAACAAGGCCAGAAGAGATAATTTCACAACTAAGTTTTAGTAAAAATGAGAAGTAGTTTCAAGATTATAAAGGATGTGAAACTGATGTTATTTAGCGTCTGGATTGCTGGTGCTGTCATTTACTCAGATTGCAGGGGGAAAAAAGTAGGTTGGAGAGTGAAAGGACTTGCTGGATTGAGATGTCTCTGTGATAATCCAGGGCAGCTGTCCTTTGAAGCATCTGGAAGAGCTCCTGTTGGGATGAGACAGAATGTGCTTTTTTTTTTTTTACATTAAACAGATACCACCATCAGTTGTTTATGGGTCTTCTAAGGGATATCCCACATAACTTGTTCAAAGTTTAGGAGGTAGTAGACATGGACCCAAGATAAACAAAAACACAGACTTTCTTTTGAAGACTTTAAAATTCTTTTGAGGGGCTGGGGATTTAGCTCAGTGGTTTCGCCACCTGTTGCGCAAGCACAAGGACTGGAGTTCGATCCCCAGTACCAAAAAAAAAAAAAGTTCTTTTGAATATAACACTGGTATTTTACAATAACAGTTGCCCCTCAGTAGCTGTACATATTAGTCACCTTCTTTGTCACTGAGAAAGAATATCTGACATCCATAAGATAAAAGGAGGAGAATTTTATTGTGGCTCACAGTTGAGTCCATAGTTAGCTGGCTCCAAGGCAGGACAGCACATCAGAGGGACATGTAGAGAAAAGGTGCTAATGGCATGGTGTCTAGGAAGCAGAGAATCAGAGGAGCTGGGGAGGAAGATAAACCCTTGTAGGCGACGGCCCCAGTGACCGACCTCCCCTGAACAGATCTGGCCTCCCAACAGCAAGCCAGGTATCATGCCTCCATAATCCACTCACCTTCCAAACACATGAGGCTTTGGGGGCCATTTTATTTCTAAACCATAACACAGTTCTGCATCTGCACGTTTAACTTCAGATCAAAATATTACAAAAAAGAAACTCACTGTTTGTCCTCAACATGCGCACTTTTTTCCTTATTTCCTAAACAGTACAGTATGACTATTTACATAGCATGTATGTTGTAGTATTATAAGTAATTGAGAGCTGATTTAAATTATACAGGAGGATGTGCTTAGGATGTGCAAATAAATACTACAGTACTTTATAGAAAGGACATGAGTATGTGGATTTTGGAACCAATCCCGTGTGGATACAGACAGATGGCTATGCATTTATCAAATACTAACTTCTAATTCAGGTAACAAGTATTGTAAACGTTGAGCCCAGAATAGAGATCATAATGATAATGGTCAGGGACTAATGGGACTAGCTAGAGAAGAAAATGTATTTAAAGGTTTGAGTGGGGAACTTCAAGGTTGCACCTTAGGCCTTGGTCAGTTATTCTCAAATCTCTGTTATTCCAAAAGAGCATTTCAGAGTTTAAAAGGTATCTTCTGTGGATCAGAGAAAAAGCAAAGATAAAAAATAAGAACCAAGAGACTCATGTAATGGTACAAGATCCCAATGATGAATGTAACTGTACTTTATACCTAAAATGTACCAATAAAGTTAATGGGGGAAAAAAAAAAGAAAAAGCAAAGAAATAGACTTTTTGTTTTTTTAACATTAAGCCTAAATGGGTGCTTCAGTAATGATTAAAACTATCAGCATTTGTTTTTTGGGGGGCCCAGGGATTGAACTTGGGACCTTGTGCTTGCGAGGCAAGCGGTGGAACCACTGGGCTAAATCCCTGGCAAGTCAGCATTATTGTGACAGTTCCCTGGCTCTAGTTGGAGGGGTTTTTTTTTAAGTACAGTTCTCACTGTTGTTTTCTCTGACATGTTTCTGTTTTGTCCTTTGATCACCTTTAGAGTTAATATTTTTTATTGAATATTAAGTGTCTCCTAAAGGTTGGATTGTGAGAGAAACAACTTTGAGTTCCTCCTTATATAAAAAGAGAATGCTTCATCTTCATTTTGCCTATTTTTGTGGTACAGTTAGTGTATTTTTTAATTTGGAGGGTTTTGTTATGTAGTTTAGGCTGGCTTTGAACTCATGGCAATCCTTCTGCCTCTGTCTCTCAAGTGCAACTTATGATCTAGGTCAAGAAGTAAAACATTGCCAGGCTTCAAAAGCTCCTTTTGTGTTCCTCCTGGTTTGTACCTGTTCCCTACCCGCTGGATTGAATCAATATCCCCAGTCTTTCATGATCTTCCCCTGCTTCTCTTTACAGTCTTACCACCTAGGTATGCATCCCTGTTTTTTAATATAGTAGAAAGCAGACTGTACATATTCTTTTATGACCTACTTCTACCGTCTAGTAGATTTCTGAGAGTTGTCAAGATGACCTGTGTGAATGTACTTCATTTCCACTGCATTTGTATCTTGTGTATGGTTATACCACAGTTTATTTACTCGTTCTTTTGTTCATGGATAGTTGTACTGTTTGCAGTTTTTGGCTATTACATATAGTGCTGTTGTGGATGTTTTTGCTCATGTTTCAGTTTTTTGTTTTTGTTTTTTTTGGTACTGGGGATTGAGCTCAGGTCCTTGTGTTTGTGCAGCAGGCAGTGAAACCACAGCTAAATGCCCGGCCCCTGCTCATGTTTCAGTGATACAGTGTGAAAGAATCTCTTTAGGGTATAATACCTGGGAATGAAATTGCTGTGTCATAGAGTGTGGTGTTACCAGATTGATTTCCAAAATGTTTGCATTTGTACTGATGTGTTCTTTCATGAGCAGTATATGAGAATTCCTATTGTTAACCTTTGATATTTTCAGACCTTTAAATCTTACCACTGGGTGTGGTGGTGCACGCCTATGATCCCAGCACTCAGAAGGCTGAGGGACAAATTCCAGGCCAGCCTGGGCTACATAATGAGTTCAAGGTGTAATGAGTTCAAGGGGAGTCTGAACTACAAAATGAGATCTTGTCTCAAAAACAAATAAATAGGGCTGGGGATTTAGCTCAGTGGTTTCACTGCCTGCTGTGCAAGCTCAAGGACCCGACCAAGTTCAATCCCCAGTACCAAAAATAAATAAATAAATTTATTTTACCAACTTGTTGATTTGGTGCAGTGATCTCATTGTATTTCTCTCATGTATTTCTCTCATTACCAGTGAGTTTTGATTATTTATTTACTGTTCAGACCTGTTCTTTTATAAAGTATATAGTCAGATCTTACACACCATTTTTCTGTTGAGGTTTTTGTCTTTTTCTTAATCGAGTTTAAATTTTCTGAATTTTTTTCTCACATGTTAAAAATAAATTCTTTGCGTATTTTCATTCTCTTTATGGTACTTTTGAAATATAGTTGAATTTGTTTGTCTTTTCCATTAGTTTTCAGAGGTTTTAGTTACGGTTTTGGTATCTAGGATTGAGGCCAGGGTTTTTATACAGCTGTATACCCACCCTCCATCCCCTTTCTTTCTTTTTTTTTTTGTACTGGTGATCGACCTTGTGCTTGCGAGGCAGTTGTGGTGCCACTGAGCTAAATCCCCGGCCCCTCTTTTCAAATGTTTTGAGACAGGGTCTTGCTAAGTCACTAAATTGACCAGGTTGGGTCTAAACTTAAAATCCTCCTACCTCAGCCTCCCAGAGTACTGGGATTATAATCGGCACTACCACACCAGCTGTGATTTCTGCTTTTTATATCTTCTTTAAGAAAGCCTTCACTATACTCAAGTCATGGAAATGTTCTCCTGTTAAAAGTTTCACAGTTTTACCTTAAACATATGGTAGTTTACTTGGAAAAATTTGCTTTTGCCCATTGTAGTAATATATACCTATAGTTCCAGCACTGTGGAGGCTGAGGCAGGAGAATCTTGAGTTCCAGGCCAACCTAGCCTTCATAGCAAGTTCAAGGCTGGGCTGGACTATGTAGGGAGAACTTTGCTGAAACAAAAAATGTTTGTGTGATGCTCATCAGTGACTTGCATTTAGCAGCAGTTGGTTGCAGTTCTGGGGCTGACTCTGATTTTATTTTGTGTATTTATACTGTGTCTGTGGAGATGACTGACTTGGAATGGGAACATGGTCTGGGGAAGACACGCAGCTAAAATAGGAGCAAAGGAGCTAAAAGCTGGAAGCAGCAAAGAAGTGCAGGGGACATCTCTGCCATCTCTCTGCCTCCCTGACAGGTATACACCTAAGGGAGAACATTACTTCAAAGGGTAACACTGGACAGTACAGTTTTCCTGGCTCCCCTGAGAGCTAGGCCCAGTGAGGTCAGCAAGCCCATATTGAAGGGAGAATAATCAAGGTTCTGGGAGCATTGCCATCTTGATTCGATTCTTCCACCCAAAAGCTCTTCTCAGATCATATCCCACAAATTTATTGGTAATATCTTGTTACATGCCCCAGGTTCTTTCTATTTTTTCCTTTTTTTTGGTACCGGGGATCAAACTCAGAACCTTGTGCTTGCAATGCAAGCGGCAAAACCACTGAGCTAAATCCCTGGTCCCCCCAGGTTCTTTCTAGCTGAGCTTTATCCCTTTCCCTCTGATTCTAACTTCAATAAAGATGGCTTTTCCATCTTTGCTGTTACACCAGCATTGGATACATGGCAGTGCTTAATAAACATTTGCCCTATGAAGATACACTTGACAATATCCTGTAAGGGTGAGGATGAGCATGCACCTTCAGACCCCAGTGAACCTCAGAGAAATTTCACATATGTGTCTACTAGGAGACATGTGCAAAGATGTTCGTAGAATTATCCTGTGGTATAATAAAATATGAAAAAATAGCTGAATGTTCATGATTAAGAAAACATAAATTATAATATATTTGTATACTAGAATGCCATAAAAGTGGAAAGATAAATGAGTACCACTACATGTGTTAACACAGACACATCTCACGAAGATAATGTTCAGTGATGAAGCAAGTTGCTAAACATAATACTACTAATACAAACCTTTGACTATATAGAAATCAGGAGGGTTGCTGCCTTGGAAGGGCAAGAAGAAGAATTAGATAAGAGAAGTTATACCAAGGGTTCTACCTATACCTGTGTTTTATTTCTGAAGCTGAATAATGGGTAAAGGGTTTGTTGTATGAACCTTGATATCTTTTTGTATGTCTGACATATTTCCTTATAAGAACAAATACTCAAATAGGAAAAGTAAATGACTGAATAAATGGATTAATTAAAAAGCTATAAATTAACTCCTACCCCTTCCATGCTCCTATTGTTGTTGCCTAACTTCTTATTATCTTTAAACCATATTTATCTTTTCTGTACTTTATATAGGCTATAACTCACAATAGAAATTATTTAAAGGGAAAATACACAAAAGGAAAGTTGAACATTGTAAGGTAAAGAAGTACCTCCTTATTTTAAAATTGCTACATAACATTTCTTCCTTAGTGACCCTTAAATTAGCTTCTTGACCACATATGCCATTAGGATATAACAATGGAAATGGCAATTAGTACAGTCTCATTATATGTAACCAAAGGGAAAAAAGACCTTGTTAATATAGTGCTTCTGTCTACCCACACTTCAGAGTATACTAGTCTTATATTTTAAAATGAAATAAATGAATTGTTCACTAGGGTTATTTTAATAAAACCCAAAGTAAATAGCAACATCTAACATTTCCCTTCCTTTGTAGTTTTAATTCAAGATTTTGAAAAACTAAGCATTATAAATGTTTTATGGATCAAATTTTGGGTTTCAATTTTTTTCTTTTTTTTTGGTACCAGGAATTGAACTTGGGACCTTGTGCTTGTAAGGCAGGAAGTGGAACCACTGAGCTAAATCCCTGGCCCTGGGTTTTGATTTTTAAAAACTTTTTCCAAAAGAGAAGCAGCTTAACACAAGCCATATCTTTCTGGCTATGAATAATATTTTTGAAGACTTACCAGTTTTTAATTGCCCATTGTTTCCTAAACTGTATTTTTAATTTCATTTGCTCTCTCCTAGGGAATGAAGGATGGCAGCACGCCGTGCATTAAAAGCTGTTTTGGTAGATCTCAATGGCACACTTCACATTGAAGATGCAGCTGTGCCAGGCGCACAGGAAGCTCTTAAAAGGCAAGCTATCCTCCAGGTTCAGCTGACAAATTATGTTTGTAAGTGCCATTTTACCGAGGCAGATCATTAGCTAAATGGATGGCCTTAAGATGGCATTTCACCATCTTACCATATATATACAAACTGCCTTGGTTTTAGCTAGAAGACATATGCATTGTAATATCCTCCAAACATTGTTCTCTAAGCTTTTATTAAGTTTGGCCTTTTGCTCTAGACAATTGTGTGCGTGTGTGTGTGTGTGTGTGTGTATGTGTGTGTGTGTATTTCTACATCAGCAGTATAAATTTGGGAATGAAAACTAAAAATTCTAAAATGTGTAATAACACTAGAAAGAATCACAGATTTTAGAATCAAAATGAAGCACAGGTGTAATTCTGCCTCCTGCTTCATCTAAGATTAAACACTGAATGTACAACTGCTCAGTAAAGTTTGATTAAAGGACTTGAAAAATTTTTTAAAAGATTAGGGAGGGCTGCCTTCTATTTCTGATATACCAGCTACAGTTGTATCATCAAAGCCTACATATAAAGTACACATTTAAAATGTGTAAAGTGAACTGAATGTAAGTGTTTGTTTCTGGGTGTTGAAAAATACTCAGCAATACTTAGTACTTAGTGCGTATCATTTTCCAACCTTAAAATGTTCATGTTGTTAATCAAAATATCTGATGACAAGTATCAGTGCCAGGTGCTGGCAAAAGATTGACACAGGCTTGTACTCTCTTGGAGCTTACTTTCCATCTAGAGAACTAAGAAATATAAACAGTCCTACATACCTGGTAGGTACCAGAAGCTATCAATTTTTTTAGGAATCCTGGTGTTCGTTTCATAGGTAGAGAAATATAGTATGTTGTTTAAACCTGAAAGAAAATCGAGTGCACTGTTAGACTTTCTCTCCTTGAAGTGGTCTCTCTGAGGCCTGCTCTGTGGGAGCAAGGATCATTGTCCACCAGTCAGTCTACTCCTGTGGACAGAGCCTTTACTGCTCTAAAGGGATTTCTGCTCTGGATTAATAGAAAACATTTATTTCTGGTGAACAGTGACATCTCTAAATGGCTCTGTAAACTATGGGCAGGAACATTGTTTTGTCACAGGCACTGGAAGGTTTCTGTTTCAGAGAAATCACTGTACTGGCACTGGCAGTTTGGTTTCTATAGAAACAAATAGACTCAGGGAAGTTGAGGGACTAGTAAACCGAAAAGTTTTAAAAGGAAACTCATTAAAAATGATGTGGTTATTTCATACTTACTCATTTTTAGGATAATAGCTCTGTTGAAGTAATCAATTTCTTTTTCAAGATAAACTGCCAAATATAATGTGTTTTGCAGAAATACTACCACACAGATGTTATAGAGGTAATTGTGATTACAGTGAGTTATTTAATCATATAAATTTAGTGTTCTTTGATTATTTAAAAATCTTTTTTCTGTTTTATTTGCTTGTATTAAATTGTGGTTAGTACTTTTTATGCTTTATGGCCTTTTGGGGCAGGCATAAAATGAAAAGCAACACGATATTAATATAGAATTCAAAATTGTAACTAAATTAAAATTATCTTTAGATTTTGGATTAAAACACTGTGTAGGACCAAGAAACAATTTTTCATTTTTAGAGAAAGCGAGAGTGTCATGAATTCTTACTCAGACATCATGCCAGTTTAGGTTTCAGCAGCAGATCATGGAGTCAAATCGGTCTTGTATGTAAGTAGTTCAATATGCAAACACTTTTATATGTAAAATTGGATTACTGGTGAGGAAGTTGTTCAGGTAATTTTGGTTTATAAACTTAGTACCTCATTTGAGCTTAGCCAGTCTCTAATAATATCCAGAGGCATCCCCTTTTCTCTTAGTACAGGAGATTGATGCTGTCCCAGGATATAAAAGTCTTGTCTCAGCCCTGCTGATGATAAGCTGTAAAAAGCTGGCAAGTCACTTAACTCCTTAGGACTTAATGTCTTATCTTTTAAGAATAAAGTGTCATACCAATAGATAATCTCTAAGAAAACTTTCACTTCTCATAATATCTGTGAGTACAGTAGTGGTTCACTTCTTTACCCAACTCTGCAGTAAAAGACAGTTAAAATATAGGAGGTCTTAAAAAAAATAGAAGGAGCGTTATTTAATTTGACTTTGAAATGTTTGGAGATGAAGCTGACTTCACAGTATAATTTGTAAGCATTTTGGGCAAATTTAAAAAAAAAGCTTTTGTTCATAAAAAGCACTCAGTGACTTATCTTTTATATAATGTTGGCAAACCCTTTAGAGCTTTCAGTGATACAAACATCCCACTGTGGCATATGTGCCATAGGTTCACCACCACTGTTCTAACATTGGCATACTTATCAAATTAGGAGGTTTTATGGGACTAGGATATGAAAGCTGCCTCTTGACTTTCAAATTTATTTTTCCAGGTTACGTGGGTCTTCTGTAATAGTTAGGTTTGTGACCAATACAACCAAAGAAAGCAAGCAAGATCTACTGGAGAGGCTGAAAAAATTGGAATTTGATATCTCTGAAGATGAAATATTCACATCTCTGACTGCAGCCAGAAGTTTAGTAGAGCAGAAACAAGTCAGGCCCATGCTGCTGGTTGATGACCGAGCACTACCCGATTTCAAAGGTGGGAGAAATTTGGAAAGATTTAAAAATGAATTCTTTGTATCTACTTATAAATCATTCATAAAAGGAGTTTTTTTTCTGATTTACTTTTGTAAATGGTCAGCAGTACTGATAAAGAATTTGAGTCTGGGGCTAGGGATTTAGCTCAGTGGTTCTGCCACCTGCCTCGCAAGCACAAGGACCGAAGTTCTATCCCAGGTACAAAAAAAAAAAAAAGGAATTTGAGTCCGAATTGGTGTTTCTCAAACCTTTCTTGACCACCATCCACAATAAGGGAAACACATTACATAGTGACTCAGTATATGTATGTGTGTATGTGTTTACATATGTTAAAAAATATGAGATATACTTTATTGTCTATTTGGTTTACTTGTTTGATTTGTTGCTACTTAGAACTGTCCAGATTAGTTTCATAATCTACTATGGATCATGACCCACAGTTTGAAAAAAGCATAGGTCAGAAATACTTTGAGTATTATAACTCTAAATCCAAGGGCCAGTCTCTTAACTTGATTAAATGAGGTAAACCAAGATATCCCTGTTTAAAAATAGATGTCATTCTGGAAGTGTAAAGATTTTACAATGAATGTGAAATATTTTTCAATCAAGAGAAAATAAAGTTGTATTCTCTGTGGAAAAATTAACACTCTGGGACAATGTCATATTTTTATGAGGTTTTGGCACATTGCTTTGTTTTGAAGATAATATTAAGTGAAATGATATAGGAAAATGAATGTTAGTACATTCATTACAAAACCTTGTTTTAGCTTTACAGAAGATTAGGGAAAGTCACCGTAGATGTGCAGTTGGGCAGGACCGCCAAACCTGAAATTAGTGAGAAGTACACCAGTGTATCAATCAAATTATTTGTAAGAAACAAAAACCTACCATTCATTGAATTAAACTGAAAATGTATTAGAGGGATCTGAGTGCTGTTGGGAATATGAAATAACACAATTCCTATAGAGAGGAATTTGGCAGTAGCTAACAAAATTACATATGAAGCACTGCTTGTAGCAATCTTATTTCTGAGGTAGTTACAAGAATATACAATGGCACATGAACAGAGTTATTTATTATAGCCTTATTTGTAATAACAAGACTGGAAACAACCCAAATGTTCATTGGAAGGGGCTGGTTGAAGGTACTATATCCACAAAATGATATATAGCTTTGTAGCTGAAAAATAAGTAATAACAAATAGTTCTATCTCCCAATCAAGAGTGATCCTCAAAGGATATACTAAGTGAAAAAGATAAGGTATAGAAAACCTTATACACTTGCTGTGTAGAAAAATGAGAGAGAAATGGGTATATGTATGTATTTGTCTTATATTGGTAAAAGGAAGCCAAAGAAGACCTCAATGAAAAACTAATAAAAATGCTTACCTATAAGGGAAAGGAGGAAAAGGAGATGAGGAGAGGAGCCATCTCTTCAATTTTGACTTTGAAACTGTGTAAATATTTTACATAATTAAAAGACATTTAAAAGGTAGAAAACTGGAGCCGGGGATTTAGCTCAGTGGTTCTGTTGCCTACTTTGCAAGTGCAAGGTCCCAAGTTCTATCCCTGGTACCAAAAAAAAAAAAAAAAAAAGAAATAGAATAAAAACTAGAAAACAAACTAGTTTGTAAAAGCAAAACAAATTGAAACAAATGAACTCTATCCTACAGAAAAGTTACTTCATATGCCTTTAAAATATAGTATTTCAACCTATTTATTCATCCTGGGATAAATTCTAAGGACAAAAGAACCACAAAGAAATCTTAAACTGCATTCTGTAGTTTTATTGTTATTAGTCACATTGATATATTTTTAAAATTATAGATGTAGATAAAACAAAGTGGTAACTTAATATTGCTAGAGCCTAGGATTTTAAGTGTAAATCAAAAGAGATACAAATACAAAAATCAAGTTAGTTAAAAGTTGTATTAGTAACTTTGAATTAAAAATACCATTACTTTCTTTTTCTCTTAAAAAATACTACCTGGATCTTCCACTGAAAATGGCTAGAAGTAATGACAATGCAATTATCAGACTGTGGTGTCTACTGCCATTTCCAACTGTAATTCCTTGGAGAAATGACTTACTCCAGTTCTGGGCAGGCATTACATGAGAGGAAGTCTTGCTTAGGTCATTATGTCAGCAGCTGAGAACTGGTAAGGTCATGTCTAAAGAATACTAGCACCAACGTAAGGGATAATTTTAGTACATAAAAAAAAATGACAGCAGTGTTTTGAACCATATCATATATATATATATATAAAGCCGTGAATTCAAAGTGGTACTGAGTCCCACAGAACTCATTGGTCTTTACTAGAGATTGTTAGAGTAGTAACTCAGTACTCTGAAAATTGATAAATTGAGAGAGTGAAGCAAGCATGTATCTTGTCTTTCCTATTTGAACTGTATTTTAAGGTAACCAAATATTTGATGAGAATAAATTCTTTGTAGAGGAATTTCAGCTAGGAAATACAAACAGAATAGCAGAATTAGGAAGTTACCATTTGGCAGGCCCTAATGAAATAGGTAATGCTATTAGTAAATTTTAAAAACATTAGCTGAAGGGCTGATGAGGATCTTCAAAATAGAGGGATCATCACTTTCACCTCGTTCAGAACATCAGCACTGGGATGGCCACAGCTTCAATAAGCTTATTTCTAAGAAGTGTTTGACTGACATCAAAATTTATAAGATCTTCAGATATTCCAGCAGAATTTGTAAGAAAGAATGTTAAATTACGAGGACAATTACACCAGATAACTGAGAATGGTTTAGAAATTGAACATATTCCCATTACTTTACCTATCATATCTTCATGGAGAAAAGAGCCATGTGGTATTTTGCTGGTTTTAAACTGGCTGGAGTAGAGCTCACTGAAGCTGGGAAGGTATGGTTACAGAAAAGCTCAAAGCTTCCCAACTGCTATGGTTCCAACTTCTTGGAAAGGAGAATTCAGTGCTCTTTTGCTACCTTTTAGTGAATAAGGGTGAATATTTTAGCATGAATCTGAATGAAGAAATTTTGCAAAGAGGCCTGGGCAAAACTGTTCTTGTTAAAGGGCTGAATTATAATTCCAAAACTTATTCACAGAAAATTACTTAAAGCTGAATTAATGGCTATAAAAAAAAGGAGAAGGAATATGGAAGGAAGAATCTGAAAAAGAAAATTATTTGGAAAAATTCAAAGACTCTCGGAAAGAAATGTGGAAAAAAGAAAGTTATTTGAAAGCAGCTGGATCAGATTTCAACTTGAAAAAAGGAAGGTATTATGACAAATTGAGAACTTATGAAACATGGAAAGACAACATGAGTAACTACTCCTTAATACTGAAATTCAGAGAACTTATGAGTCGCTTACATTTTCTTAGGAAAGAGTGATATATCCAACAGGTCTAGAGGTGACTCCTCTGAAGAGTAAAATATGCAAACATGTGGACATTTTTTACTGAGCCTGTGTGGAAGTTTCCACAAATGATCAAAGTTGAATTCTAATGGTATTTAAACATTAAAAATATTATGATTAGTGTAATATCAGAATTAATTTAAATAAATAAAGGTTAATATAATGCTTTTAGGAACAGTGAAGTACTATTAAAAAAAAGTTACCAAAACTAGATGTGGTGGCACATGCCTGTAATCCAAGGACTCTGGGAGGCTGAAACAGGAGGAGCAAAGTTAGATCCTAGCTTGGGCAATTTAGAGATTTAGTGAGACTCTTCAAATTTTAAAAAGGACTGGGACTGTAGCTTAGTGTGAAGGCCCTGGGTTCAGTCCTCAGTACTGTCCCCTCCCATTATCAGGCTGTATGTATGTAATATCATTGTTTGAAGAGAAAATTCAAGTATTGGCCATTGTGTTACGTTATGTTGAGCAGTTGTATTTAATTTTTGTTCAAAGAGAACTTTTCCAACTTTATCTTCTTTCATTATTTATATAATAAAGGAATTATTTATAAAAAAAATAGAGGGTTGAGGCTCACACCACTTGAGTCCCTCAGTCAATCTTAACTTCATTAGAAGTAGAACTTGCGTACTGCATGATGTAGTATAAGAAGTAGTTCGTAGTATTGCCTGTGAAATAAACTGCCTGAAAATTGGATATGAACCTACGAAGATTCTAGGTGTAATTACCAGTGAACAGAAAAGATAAAGGTAAGAAACAAATTTAAATAATACTGCAAACAATCAGCCAAATTCAGAATATGGGAACTTCTCCTGGATTAATGATGTCATTGTACCAATAAGTTGGGGGAGTGAAGATGTAGACTGAGAAGAGAGAGCAGTCAAATGCAGCATCGGGCCTTTTTGGGAAGTTTAACATACCAGATGTTAAAAAGACATTTTAATACACTTGAGAAAATTCAAATATAAACTGAGACATTAAATTATTAACTTTGCTGGTATAATATTAAGGTTTTAAAAACTTTTCAAGTCTGTGTTGATTAAAGATATATACTGAAATGTAAAATAATTAGTTTTTAAAACTTCCATAACAAAAAGAAAAAAGCCTGTGTGGGTAACCCATAAAACTACCAGGGAGCACTAGAGTTAGTCTTATGGGCTGCGGAGCTAGTAACAGTATGCACCATCATCTGCAGAATTGATCTGATGCTACTGATGTCTCTGCTGATCAGTGACCTCTGTAGCTGGCCATGTTGGCCATACCAGCACTGCTTTCCTGGCATCTGATAGACTCAGTAGCTCACTTCAGAGGAGGATCTCTCCACTTCTTTGTGTTATTAGCTCCCACTTCGAAGCCCAGGGTAAGGGTATCTGATTGATAGGGCCTTAGTCTAATGCCAGCACCCTTAGCTTCAAGGAAGTCTAGAAAATATCAGGTGTCCTCAGCCTCTGGTGTGAGAGTATGATCTCCAGCCCTCAGCACTCTATGGATATGAGTTAGTGCCCTATGAGAATAGTATGCAGAAGGTGAGCAGTCAAGAATAGTGACAAATACATCAAGTAATCAATATATTTACATTTCTGAGTGAGCTAAAGGACTACAAAACTAATCTGACTTTTCTCTTAATTTTATTAGAAGAATATTAAGATTCTAGCTATCTTAGCAGTGAGCTGGAGTTGAAATATGTGATAAAAAGCCTTGGTCTGGCAGAAATTTTTGTCATTCAGTCTAGTACTATGCTTTTCAATATCTTTTTATACATGAAAATACCTAGGGTAGACAGTTGGATTTTTTAAAGGAATAGAAATACCCTTGCTAATACTGGGTACTATATCTTTGTCCTAGTTTTAGATACAGATAATAAAAAGAATCAATACAAAAACCTTTTAATTCTCACTGTAGCCAACACAATTTTAAGTTTGTTCCTTCAGCAAACTTTAACCAATTACTCAATACATGTAGCAGCTAGTAAGAAGGAAATTGAAAAGCTTGGGTATCTGCAGGTAATAAGAGAGGCAAAAAGGAATTGGCCTTAGATAATCCGCAGAACTTTTAACCAGTCTTAAAACTGTGATGGTGAATGTGCTTGCTGCGTTATCATATCTGACATCTTGTTATCAGATTCTAAGATCTTAAAATATGCTTTATAAAATAGTATGTATGAAACTCAAAGTAGATTAAGGATCATGTACAAAGCCATAGAATCTGCATTGCTTTCCATATTTATCCCAAATGTATTAACCTCAGCTGTGTCAATTAGAAAGTCTAATTTCCCTGTCTCTCTCAGATTCTCAGTTCCTCATCAGTTGCTATTGATCTGATAGCTCATAGGGAACTCATGGCTGTTCTTGTTGATTGAAATCAGTAGAGCACTTTGAAGTTAGAAATTGCTTGTTTGAGAACATCAGGTTATGATTTTCAAATCAAATCTAGTTACAGAGCAGCAGTATGACCATATGGGAAAATATTAGTAGACACTTCTCTCTTTCTCCCCCTTTTTCTCACTCTCTCCCTCCCCTTTTTTCTTCCCCTTTACCTCTCCTTCCCTTCCCTTTCCCATATCTCTCTCTTTCTCTCCCTCCTCATCCTTTCTTCTCCCTCCATCTCTTGAACCTCAAATTATGGCTATAACAAAAATGTGCACTTGATTGACTAAAACTACTTTGTTACAAAATATGACATTGGTTTTAATTGCATTTTTTAACAGTTCTATTTTTTTCCATTCCCAGGAATACAAACAAATGATCCTAATGCTGTGGTTATAGGATTGGCACCAGAACATTTTCATTATCAAATTTTGAATCAAGCATTCCGGTAAATCTAATTACCTATTTTTTTATCTGATAATGTACCCTCCTTTTTTCCTTCTTTAGTCTTTGTTACATAAGGTTTTATGTGTTTTGCTCTCTGGCCACTTGGATTATTCCATGAGTGATAATGACAGTCCACACTGAAATACTGGTGGCAGGGGTAAGGAAGGACAGCTGCAGGTAGTGTCCGCATGACTTACTGGATGATTGAATTTGAGGGTGAAGAAGAAGGGTGAGTCATGGGGAACATCCAGATTTCTATCCTAAGCAAGTGAAGTAGAGAGCACTGTTGGGGCTTTAGAAAGTGAGGAGTGATGGGGGCTGTTTGGCCTGTGAGGTATCCAAGTGGAGATATTCCAGTGGCTATTGGTAGAAGCACAGTTAGTACATCAGATATTATAAATCCTCAGCACATGCATTTCATCTATGTGAACTTCTTGCTGCTGCTTCTAAAAGGAAGATTTATGCTTGTTCTCATGCTTTGTAAGATAAATAAGATCAGAATTTACCTGCAGATCTGCACTAGAGTGAGATTGCCTTTTTCCTTTGAAATTTCCATTTTTTATATCTTGCTTTTTATTTTTTTTTTTGTCTAACCACTGACCAGTGCAATTTACTTTTGAATCAATGACAAGTAAATTTTTCAAATTTTGCATAGGGTTATACTGAAGTCGCTTTTTAGAAAAAAATTTAAATAGCCTAATTTTTAGTATTTAACTGCAAGAATATATAAAAGATCATTTGTGTGACCAGTATAAGGATCCATAAGAATTATTCTAACTTATATGTTATATAGAATTTTTTTTCAGTACTGGGGGTTGAACTCAGGGCCTTTGCACTGAGCCAGATCTTCATGCCTTTTTTATTTCTGGTATTATTTTGGTTTTTGAGAGAGGGTCTCACTATGCAGTCTAGGCTGGCCTTGAACTCATAGTAATTCTCTTGCCACAGCCTCCTAAGTGCTGGGATTGTAAGCATGCACCACCATGCCTGGCCTTATTGTAAATTTTGAGACAGTCTCACTAAGTTACTGTCTTAGTTATTTTTCTCACGCTGAGACAAAACACCAACACCAGAAGTTAAAGGGGAAATGGTTCATTTAGCTCACAGTTTATGGAGGTATCAGTCCACAATCGGCTGGCTCCAAGGCAGGGTGACGTGGCAGAGGGGCAACAGTTGATGGTGGAGTAAAGGTAGGAAAGCATCAAGGAAACCTTAAGTGTTTTTCTGCCCTTTTTATCTTATCCAGACTAAGTGGATTAGGGCGATGCCAGACCAATCGGTGTACTGGTTTAGTAATCACATGCCCTTAATTCCGGCATCACAGCTCTAGATTCAGCCACCTCTGAAAAAGCCTTATGACTTCATGAGGCTTTGGGGAGACATCTAGACACAAACTGTAACAGTCACTAAGCTGCCCAGGCTGGGCTAAAACTTCAGATCCTCCTCCCTGAGCCTCCCAGAGTCCTGGGATTGCAGATGTGTACCACCATGTCTGGCAAGAATTCCTTTCTTGATAGATATGTCCTAGAACGAGAATATTTGTAGGAAACTTTAAAACATAATGCCAGGTTTACACATTGGGCCACGTTTTTCAATCTTGAAAATGACTACTCATCTAAAATCTGTGTGACCAAATGATCTATATGTCTTTCCTTACACCAAAACTGCCTTGATTACTGTAGCGTTAGAGGAAGTCTTAAAATTAGGTACTAAACGTCTTCCAACACTGTTTTTTTTTCTTTTTCTTTTTACTTTTCTAGGTCCTTTGTACTCCTACATAACTTTTAAATTTCAATATCCAGTTCTTCATTTATAGCAAGTATACATAGACCTGAATTTTTATAAATACCTTGTGTTTTCTAATCCTGCTAAATTCAAATACAAGTTCTAGGTGCTTCTAGAGATTTCTTAGTATTTTCTCTGTAGATGATCATTTCGTATGCATATAAAGGTGTTACTTCTACCTTGCCAATCCTATCCTAATTGTGTCATTTTATTGCCAGACTATTTTGGTTTGGGACTATGTTTCAAAGTTTAATGGACAGATGAAGAGTGGGCATATCTGCCCTTGTTCCCCACCTTAGGGAGAAAGCATTGTATCTTCTCCATTCATATAAGGCGTTCTCACTGGAAGTATGGAGTACATGTCTTTGATCTGTTGAGAAGGTTCTGTTCTACTTCTAGGCTCCTGATAGCTTTTACCATGAACAGCTGTAGAATTTAGTCCAATACTTTTTCTCCAACTAGTGACAGGATCATATGGCTTTTTCCTTTCCTCTGTTCAGACGATAACTTTTGGGGGTGGATCTTCCAATGCTGAACCAACACTGCCATCCCTATAACAAAACCACTTTCTACATCCTGCCAGATCTGACTTCTAATAGTTTGTTTTGTTAAACAAATTTCTATCTATGTTCATACTTTTTTCTATTATCTATCCAGTTTCAGGATTAGCACAATGTTGAGTTCCTAAAATGAGGGGAGAAGTGTCCCTTCTTTTTTCTGCTTTAAATGTTTGATATAATTTATCAGTTAAAATGTATATGAGCCTGCTGTTGTCATATAGGTAGGTTTTCAAGCTAGGAATATACTTTCTTTAATAGGTGCTATTGAAATTTTATATTTCCTCCAGAGTTAGTTTCATTAATTTGTCTTCCAAGGTACTTCTTAGCAGTTGTCAAATTTATTTCAAAAAAGATTTTTGTAATATGCTTTTTATATCCTTTTAAATTCTGTAAAATCTGTGGTCATGTCACCAAGATCTTTATATTATAATTATAGCAATGTATAATTGATATTGTGTAATAGGAAGAAAAGGTCTGAAGGAGCAGGGGAAGTGGGAGGGGTAGGGGAAAGGAAAGAAGGGAAAAGAAAAAATATGAGAAAAGGAAAACAATGGAAATAAAGTCTTTGTAAATAGGGTAGGGTGGAGGGGGTGAAGGGAGGGCAGGGGAAGGGGAAAAAATAAGAACCAAGATACTCATGTAAAGGTACAAGATCCCAATGATGAATGTAACTGTTTTTTATACCTAAAATGTAACCAATAAACTTAATGGGGAAAAAATAAAATAAAATACTGTGTGGCCACAAATAGCCCTTTGAGGACAGCCACTTTTTCTACATGTGCATGGTCATTTAGATCCCTTGTTTAATGGAATCCACAACTACATAATATACTTTCATTTGTGGCTCTCTCAGTAGCTATGATGCTCAAGCCTTTGTTTAAAATTCATTCACTGTAGGGCCAGGGATTTAAGCTCAGTGGCACCACGCCTGCCTCATAAGCGCAAGTTCCTGAGTTTGATCCCCAGTACCAAAAAAAAAAATTCATTCACTGTAGTTGTTATCTGGACATCCACTACTAGTATGCCAGATTGCTTGAAAATATACTTCAGAATATATAATACTAAAATTTATTTTGCTTCACCTGCTTCAGTTATCCTGCTTCAGTTTCTTAGTAGGGGTTATCCTATCTGCTCCCTAAATAAGGTCTACAATTTATACCAAGTAAGTATTCATTTGAAATAGAGATCCCAAATTATTTCTTCTAAATTTACCCCTGCTACATTTTCTTAATTCCTTTAACCACACAATTCAAGAAGAAGGTATTGACTGGTTTTAGCTGGTAACTTGGAAAGGACATATTTAATAGGAAGTTGGAAGGTCTCTGTCTTAGATAAATACTAGACATGGGGTAATAAAAATGCATATTGACATAATACTGAATGTAATTGCTGGGATGCTATCTAATTAGTATACTTTCCTAACTATATCGATTTTTTAAACACTGCATTTTAAGCCATTACAGTGTACTACTTATAGGTCAACTCTAATTTCACAAATGTACTTTAACAGCTGGATAGAGAGTTGACAAAGATTTTAGGTCTTGCCCTTTTTTGCATATTGATGTTTCCACGGAGACTATACTGTTCAGCCAGTAACTACAGTTGTTTGGATTTTATGTGGCAAATATACACATCTCAAACAAACCACTAATTAAATTACTGTTCAGCTTGATAATGAGAGTAAATATTGAATGTTAAAGCCCATTGCTTAGCTTCCTTGAATGCCAGTTTCAAGGACATGATGCATGAAGGCAGATATCAACCTTCATATTATACTGACTCATTTACTGTGTCTTTAATGGGAAGCCCCCTCATGGTACAGTGTATATGTACTATTTAGCACATATATAAATGTGTCTTAAATACTTGAATGAAATTGAGAATGATTTTAAATAATTAACTTTGGTAAAGGAAATGAACCAGTTTTAAGGAATAAATATGATTTGGATTTAGATTGTCTTAAAAATATTCAAACCTTGGGGCCAGGGATTTAGCTCAGTGGTTCCGGCGCCTGCCTTGTAAGTGCAAGGACCCAAGTTCGATCCCTGGTACCAAAAAAAAAAAAAAAAAAAAAAACCATTCAAACCCTAAGGGCCACTGGTAGCTTTTCCCTTTTACCTAATGCTAAAAGAGACAACCATTGTTAAGATTTAAAAGATGCATCATATTAAGATGCAGAAATTATCCATACATTTGTTAGCCCCTGCAAATATAATACCTATAAGTTTTCACTCAGGAAAACTTACCTAGGATCCGTAGGTAATAAGATTATGAATTTAGTGTTCCTGTTTTATATATTTTTTATACTTATAGTAACATGTAAGTATTCCTAAACATTATATAGTATTTGTATGTTTTGTACTGTTTACATTCAGTTTGCTTTCTTCGCTAGAAGTAATATGTGATTCATCATATGAATATCCATAGCTTTAGTTAATTGATTTTCACAGCAGTATTATTAGCTTATAGCAAGTTTTTTTTAACCTTCTGATCTGAGTTAGAAACCCAAAGCTTGAGCGTTTAAGTAACAGATCAGTTATAATTAAATTTGATGATCACTGTTAGGAGGAAGACTATGTAGGCAAATAGACAACTTTAATAGCCTAATCTGAATTTAGTACTAACAAGATGAAAAAATACGTAACCACAAAAATAA